TGTTTACTTGCCATAGGATGAGATTTAAAAAAAATTCCATCTCTACTTAAGAGTAATTAATTTAGTTGACCGATTCTAAAGGAAATAACCATTTTAGTTGACCATTAAACAAAAGAGGTCACTTACCAAATTGAGAGGGAATCGAGAGCAAGTTCCGGATTCTCTAGAAGTCCAGCGAGAAGAACCAAGATCTGAAAATACCAAGTCTCAAGGCAGAGCATCACGGCGGAGGCAGCGGAGAGTTTAAAGAAACTCGGTAAACCCGAGAAAGCCTGTACACTAAATCCTCTCCACGTCTCACGACACCGATCACTGGTCACAATGTAAACAAACTGAGCCACAACTATAATCCACCACGAGAGGCTGAGCACTAGCGACGCTCCAAGAAGTCCCATACCGAGCTTGTACACAGCAAGCCAGCTTATGAGAAGGTGCACGAAGAGTGTTGCGGTTGAGATGTAAGCACTCGGAGCCACGATGCTTTGCGATTGAAGAAATTTCTGTATCGGAAAGTTCACCGCGTACGCGAAGATTTGAGGGATTAGACCGTAAACGAAGAGAGACGCTGCGGAAGCTATTTCGGGCGATTCTCCGAGGAAAAGCAGAATCGGTTCGGAGAAAACATATATCAAGGTGAGTAGAACGCCGGTGAGAGTGAGCAACACGGTGGATCTTTGGAGATAAATTCCAAGCATCTCATATTTTCTACCTCCGTACGCTTGTCCACACAGTGTCTCCACCGCACTCCCCATTCCTAGCTACGGATTTCAGAAAATATTGTTAAGTTTTATGGGTTTCTAACTGAAAGTCAAGGATGTGTTCTCACGAAAATCCCCAAATATGACCCAAAAAAACCCATACACATGCATAACAAAATCAAATAGAGGTATATGATCAACAAAAATCAATCGATGGTTACCATGAGGCCATAAGCGAAGATTTGGATTCCGGTGTTACCGAGAGAAGCGGCGGCGAGTTCTAGGTTCCCGAGATGACCGGAGAAGATTTGAGTGGACATGGACATGAGGTAGTTTATCATGTAGACGATTACGGCAGGAGCAGCAAGTTTGAAGAGAAGCTTCGATTCAATCATTGTGGCCTTACGAAGGCGGAGAAACAGAGGAGTTTCGACGTCGGAAAGCACTCTCTCTAGCTCGCCGTTGCTAGATACCGTCGACGGAGACGGTAGCGTTCCATCACCGTGAGACTGGAGAAGCTGTTGGTAAACGCCGTCGTTTTGAGATGTATCCATGAAGAAACCGCCGGAGATTAGCG